ACACACACACACACACACACACACACACACACACACACACACACACACACACACACACACATACGCCACTGAGCCTGCAGTTCTAGCCACTCACTGATAAGCCTGGAGGAGGAGCAGCAGAGATTAACTGACGCACGAGTGGAGAGTTGAAAATGAATATATGTTGCCACAAATGAGAAACTTTTACCACCTCAGGAGGAGCTGAAACAAAACTGAGTAAAATTATCTGGTCCTAGAGTCCTCCGGAAGCAAAATCGACTCTTTCAAGCTTTATATCATATTACGTCTTTCCCACATTAAAAAAACATACCAAGMGTATTGCTTTGACTCATTCATGTATGTTTGAGAAATCCTTGAATCTTCTGTGGTAGATTTGTGTGGAGCTGCCTAAATGCTTTATAGCACCACCTAGTTACACAAAGCTCCTCCCCAGCCGAGCTCATGCCACACCGAGCGCACCCGTATGAAGTTAATCCATTCTCATAAAGGGAGCACGCACACACAAGATTTGAACGAGTAAGTCAACATTTGAGCGAGGGAGAAGCAGTATTGGCACCTGCACGAGTGCATGGATCCGCTCGCTTGTAAATTTGACTTTTGAGACTCACATGTGCAATGCTGCRTTCACGGCTGGCGAAAAGCTGGAAAATCAGAGCTTTACCACATTTACTGGGTTACTGGGAAAAATACATTTCTGACTTATACAGTAGTTCATAAACCCTATAGTAAATTAAAACAGTAAGGGTTGAGGTCAGGGGAGGATGGGAGCCACACCATGAGTTTCTCTTTTTATGCCTGTAGAAGCCGGTGATGCAGAGGTATTCCTTGCAGCATTAGATGGTGCATTGTAATGAATGAAGATGATTTTAGTCTTCATGTAATTCTCGGCCTATTACAACTGTTTCTGTTCATGAGCATTGGTTAAGGTTGGTTGAAYAAAAGGATTATACACAACTGAGCCWCTGGAGGACCACTGGACTCTAGAGGCACCAGCACCTGTTTGCTGCTTTGCGATGGCATTTTAGCAGGTGTTCTCTTAATTTGATGTGTTTGTCTGGCAGAAACCTTCATCATTGTGTCTTAATCTGCACGCACCTTGTAAATCATCCACAAATCTTAAAAGTATGATGATCAGTCTTACGTTTTTGAGAAAAAATCTAAGGTTTTCATTCCTTGTCTAAGGCATTCAACTATTTCACACTTTTCGGCAGCAGATAGATCCTTTTTCTTTCGCGTCATAATTGAAAATATTGGTCTGTTTATTAATGTGGAATGCTCTTCAGTGGTTTTTCTATTAATTGGGCTCACCTGACAAACAAATCACTTCTGTCTGAGACTGGTTGTAGAGATCCAAAGAGTCCTGAGAAACCATGAGTTTAATTGATAAACTCAAATCACAATCTTTATGACTCTTAAATTCAATTTGCTTAATAATTTAGAATGCAGTGGATTCTTGATATAATCCAAGAAGAGTTATAGAAACTAATTGATTTGATTTGATTTGATTTATCAATTTAACAGGAAAAGATTACTAAAAATCAAGTCTAACTCAGCATAATTGCTGTTTTACAGCAGGTTCCTGTTCTGCAGCACATAAAACACTCAAAAATACAGCATCACAATCGCATCATTATACACCATAGACACAAAGACAAACAAGCATACCAAATTTAAGGAAGGCAGCATTTGCAAAATAGGATGTCTAAATATGAGCACAACAAAAAGTGTCCAGCAGATG